CCTGGGAGCTCCCGGCCCAGCCAAGGATGTTGGATCTCATGATCCTCAGTACTTTTTTGACACCCCATTCCCCTCAGTAAAATAGTTTGACCCCTTCCCCGCCAAAAAAAAAAAAAAAAAGAAATTTAGGGGTGAGGGATAGCATTAGGAGATAAACCTAATGTAAATGACGAGTTAATGGGTGCAGCACACCAACATGGCACATGTATACATATGTAACAAACCTGCACGTTGTGCACATGTACCCTAGAACTTAAAGTATAATTAAAAAAAAAAATTATATTAGACTCTCCATAGTTTGGGGAAAAAAATTCCATTTTGTAAAATAAGTAGATTGTACTAGATTCACTTTTCATGTCTAAACATTTTCTGTGATTTTATGAATTCGATTAAATATCAACTGAATTTCCTTTCCAAATAAATGAATTCCAACATGGAAAAAAAAAAAAAAAGAAATTTAACTGTCATGATGATGGTATTAAAAGGGAGGACCTTTAAGAGGTGATTAGGTTATGAGGGTTTAGCCCTCATGAATGGATTAATGCCGTTTTCTTGGGAGTGGATTAGTTATCCCAGGAATGGAGCTCCTGATAAAAAGGATTACTTTGGTCTGATTTCCTCTCTGTCTCATGTGCTGGGTTCTGCCTTCTGCCATAGGATGACCCTTGCCAGATGCCAGCGCCATGCCCTTAGACTTCCCAGCCTCTGGAACTGTGACCCTAATGAATTTCTGCTCATTATAAACTACGCCGTCAGTGGTATTCTGTTATAGCAAGCAGAAAAGGGACGAGGACAGTGGGCAAGGGTATAATAAACAACCTTTAAAGAAAGATACTATTAATCAAAAGCTAACATTCAGGTAGGTCTTGCCATGTACCACATCGCTCATTTAACTGTCACAACAGCCCATCCGCTGGGTGTTGCTATTTTCCCCCATTTTACTGATGAAGTAATTGAGGCAGGTTAAGTAGTAAGTGGGGAAACCAGCATTTGAATCCAGGTACTTCTGACATTGGACCCCTCACACACAACAACTCTGCTGTATTGTCTCCAACTAATTCTCAGAAGTGATTTCGAAAGTCATACAGGCTAGGCACGGTGGCTCACTCCTGTAATCCCAACACTTTGGGAGGCCGAAGTAGGAGGACTGCTTGAGCCCAGGAGTTTGGGAGCAGCCTGGGAAACATAGGGAGACCCTGTCTCTACAAAAATATAAATAAAATTCATTAGTCAGGTGTGGTGGTGCATGCCTGTACTCCCAGCTATTTGGGAGGCTGAGGGGGGGAGGATCACTTCAGCCCAAGAGGTCACGGCTGCAGTGAGCTGTGAGCATGCCACTGTACCCTATCCTGGCCGAGACAGCAAGACTCTTAAAAAAAAAAAAAGTCACACCACAGATTATTCATGAGTTAAAATAAACATGGCATCTACCACTCATCTCAGTGAATTACTGGTGAAAATTACCTAACAATTTTGTGCTTTGTGCTCTGGTCTTGTAACACAATGCCACAGACAAGTTAAGATCCAACAAGTGCCAACTCATTGAAGCAGGTAAAGATCAGCCAAGAAAAAAGTATGCAAGTTCAACTTCTATTTGCCACTGTGCTTGAGAAATGTCAGACAGTGCCAGCAAATTCCCTGTTCTCCTCCAGAGGCTCAGAAATGAACCTGTACCTCCAGGAGTTTTCATGATTCAGACCTGATGTTCAGAGGCTAAGCCATGCCCCTGAGGTAGGAGCAGTCAGGTTTTTGAAGTTTTTGCAGTTACGCAGGCACTCAGTGAGGTGAACATAAACCCAGAGCTTGAGGATGGACGAGAGAGAAGAGAAGGATGTCCCAGTCTTGCTTAGTGGGAAGAGGAGTCTAGGAAAGGGTTCTAAAAAATACTATATTTAGGGTACTTTTTGGTCCAGAAACAGCTGCTCTAAGCCCTTCCTGAAGCCTGGAGGGTCAAGCAGGGCTGAAAAACATGCAATTCAAGGCCCTCAAGCTGGGAAAGCCTTCTACTCTCTTTGGCACAAATCAAGAACCAGATGGTTCCTGCCTGCCAGTGGTCAGAGATGAGGAAAGCACAGGTCAGTTCCTGAGTTATCTAGGTCATAACCATGTTGGGGACTTAAAGAGCAGGGTTGCTATCTTGGGTCAGATCCTTTATCCAAGGACCTCCACCAGGAGGGATCAAATGTCGTTTCCTCAGCCCTAGGAGGTCAGGGTGCCATGAGCAGCTCCTCCCACAGCAGCCTGTCTTGTTCTGTGCCAGCCCCAACTTTCCAGTGGCCGTCTGCCCCAGTCAAAGGGAGCTAGGAGACCTTGAAATAAGCCCTCTACAGTGAGGCTGGCATTGTCATGCCAGCTGATGATCTGAAGTGCACCAGAACCCAAATCTAATAGGATTGTGTAGTGTACCCTTTGGAGATAATGAGTGCAGAGATTGGCTGGCTGGTCTGCTTTTTCAAATTGTTTTCTTTAACAGGACTCCTCATTTTTTTCCAGGTGAATCTCAGGCAGTATGGATCACTGCTATTAGGCCTCCTCACTTTGGCCTAATCAAATAGTTTTACTAAAGGCGTGGAAACAGTCTCAGACTCTGTGAGGAGGAAGCATGTCTTAAAACTTCTTCACCTTCTGCAAGGCCTGGCGTCAGACAAATAATAGGCACTCAACAGCAACTCATAATAATACAAAGTTTATACATATCTATATGTATACATATGTTCTAAGAATTTTTGTGTGGTGCTTTATAATTCACAAAGTGCTTGTTTTTTCATCACTTCTTTTAACTCTAACAACAATCTTTTAAGATATTATTACCCTCTTCATTTTACTCTGAAAAGTATGGCTTAGAGAGGTTGAGTGACTTATCCAAGATCACACAGCAGAGCTGGGACTTGACTCCAGTACCCAGGATATCCATCTTGCCTTTTTGCTTGTCCCACAGCCACATGCTGCCTTGATAGGACATAGCCCCTGCCCTTATGGAGCTGAAGTTCATCAACAAGCTCAAAGTGCAGGACATCCAGACTCCTCCGAGGGAACACATACCAGGAGATCATCTGCCTTCTGGGCTTATAGGCCATAGTTTTGTACCAAGAGGTATGAGAGGACAGCAAAAGGTGGGGGACAAAATCTGCCACTTCTGTTCGGCAGCTGCAATATGGCTCAGGGGGGTCTGGAGAGCCCAGCCGAGGGCTGGGGAAACAGCTTTACTTACTGTGTTAGTGAGGGGGCGCCACTGCTTATGTTTAGCTGTGGTTTGCTACAAGGGTAGGATGGGGCATTTCACGCCCCTCCTCCCAATCAAGGCTCCTTCCTCCTCTTCTCTTTCCTTTTGTTAGTTTCATTTCATGCTATGAATCACCAGGTGGCAGGAGGGGCGGCAAAAAGTGCCCTCTATCGGCTCTGACTGTCCCGCTGCTGCTCATAGCTGCCCCTGAGGAGCGGGGGTTCTCAACTTTGGTTGCCCATCGGAACTGCCTGTGCAGCCTATTAAACGAGGATGTCTGCCCCACCCAGGGCTACTCACTCAGACTCTTCCAGAGAGGGACTCAGCCCTTTGTTTTGCAAAGCTCCCTAGGAATTTCTGATGCATAGCCAGCAGCTCAGGGAAAAGTCTAAGCAAAGCTTCAAAAGTGCAGCAGTGCACAAAGGACCCCAGACTTCCGTCCCAGGCTCAAGTGTGCCACAGACCAGAAGTCACTACCTTTACACCTGTTACTTAACCTGCCTGAGTTGCAGTCTCCTCAAACGTAAAAGTGAGTGAAGCCGGGTGAAGAGTTGCTGTAAGGAGTTAAGATATTTCTTCAGCAAGCGCTTTGTAAACTAAACATCTATAGAAATGTTGCAGCACACACATTACCACTGACTATATATCGTAGCATAATTTAGCAGTTTATCAACCTGCCTTCCCCATTACACCAAGCGCCTCCCGGTTAGACTTGACATCTTGGAATCCCGAGCGCCTAGTAGGAAAGATGACTAATAAATGCTTGTTAAATGAATATTAGCAACCTGCCAAGAAATCGTGAGGGTAGAACCAGAAAGCCATGGAGAGGTGAGGAGGGAGATTATTTTAATAGTAGATCCAAATATACAGCAGCCACACGAGAAGCACAGCTGAGTCTAAAGGAAGGTCCTAAACAGGGCGAAGTCGCCACTGCAGAGAATGAAGTCAGCGCCCTCGCAGGTTGGGGGCAGCTCCCACTAAACCCCTGACAGCTGCTGCCCAGCAACTGTTTGGGGGCAGGGCGACGGCAAAGGGGCAGCTTCCCGGCCGCTCCGCGCTCTCCCCAGGGCCCAGCCTCCCGGAGACAGGGTGTCAGTGGCATGTGCTATTTCGAACGACGCGTCCCCTGCCAAGCGCTGAGGGGTGGCGTCGCTGGCAAGGGACGTGGCGCGACCCATGAGTTGGGAGCCCCCCGAGGGGCTCGAGCCGAGGCTGCAGGAGGCTGGGCTGTGGGTCGGGACTCGGGAGTCGGGTTTGGCGCTAGCCTGGTCCCCACGCCCGGGAGCCGCTCCACCTCCGCCGGACCTCGGTACCTTGCTGCAACCCTCTTCTCCCCGGAAACATGCGCCTCCCGGGTTGCCTGGAAACGACGCCCCCGGTTGCATAGCAACGAGGATCCGGGTCCCCTGTTTGTTTCGCCCGCTGGGCGCGCGGACCCCTCCCGACTCCGACTCTCCAGGCCTCGCCGCTCTGCCTGGTGCCGCCTGCAGCGGCTGCTGTCTCCCCTTCCCGTGCGCTGCCCCGCATTCCGGCCTCGGCCCGCACTCACCTTTCTCAGGCCACTGCTATCCTTCACGTGCGACTTCGCTGAAACGCGCCACCAAAAACGCGCCTCAACTCCGGGCGTTGGTTTGCCTTCTCCGCATGCGCAAGGCGGGATGAGCCCGGAAACTAGCCGGCCTTTCTCACAATCGAAATCCACGCCGGGAGCGCATGCGCCCCGCTTTATCTATTGCGTTTCTTTTTTCCCCACAAGCATTCCCACCGAGAGAAGAATGGGATCGGAAGTTCCAGCAGGGAACGGAAGTCTCTGGCTGGAAAGGGGAAATAAATGACTATATGTGGGCTGCAGACTGGGTAAACTGGATCTTTGAAATCGGAGTGGAAGCTAATCCCCCTCTTGCCACCGCTCGGCATTTTGGGTAATGTAGTTCTCGAGCTACAAATGTTCCCTGGGGCATTGTGGGCAATGTTGTTCTAACCGGGCTGCTAACGAGCACCTGGTCTTCCTAGAAGCTTCGCGCTAAAAAGGCACGAAAGAGAAAGGCATTAAAGGAGCAATTAAAGGCACACTGCGCTAGGAAAACGCATGCGCTCCCCCAGAGAGAAAATTCGTAGGCCGGGCGCAGTGGCTCAAGCCTGTAATCCCAGCACTTTGGGAGGCCGAGACGGGTGGATCACGAGGTCAGGAGATCGTAGACCATCCTGGCTAACCCGGTGAAACCCCGTCTCTACTAAAAAATACAAAAAAAAAAAAAAAAAAAAAAAAAAAAAAACCTAGCCGGGCGAGGTTGCGAGCGCCTGTAGTCCCAGCTACTCTGGAGGCTGAGGCAGGAGAATGGCGTAAACCCGGGAGGCGGAGCTTGCAGTGAGCTGAGATCCGGCCACTGTACTCCAGCCTGGGCGACTGAGCGAGACTCCGTCTCAAAAAAAAAAAAAAAAAAAAAAAAAAAAAGAAAATTCGTAAAATTCGACGGCTCCCAAATGCTAGTTCAGAATTTTAGAGAAGGAGAGGAACCAACTCCCGCTCTCCTTTTTCTGCCACAAAGGCAGTGATAGGGACAGGGGGCAGATAAATGCTAGGTAGAAAAGGGCGGGTCCCTGGGGAAACCCCACCCGCAAGCCAAAAAGCCTGAAACCGTGGCCCAAAGTGAGAACTTCTATTCATGTTTTCCTAATTGAATGTTCCCTTTTCCTAAGCCACCCATGTCTCTGCCCTGCCTCATCCTGTGCCTGGAAAGACTCCAGACTCATCTGGCAGAGAGGAGAAGCAGCTGGATGAGGGGACGACCATGGCTGGATGTCAGAGAGAAGCAGCTTGTCTTCAGAGGGACAGCCTGAGGTATAACTTCGGAGACGAATCTGGCCGGAGACAGCTGGGCTTCAAGGGAAGACTACATACCCGCCTGTCCCACCCATCTGTTTTCAGCTCCCCTTCCCTCTGAAATCCACTTTGATCAGCAATAAAATCCCAGGCATTTGTCCTTTAATTTGTTCGTGCAACTTTATTTTTCTTGGACGCTGGACAAGAGCTGGGGAGCCACCAGTGCGGATACAAAGGCTGTCACGCTGGCCCTTTGCCCTCGCTGGTGGAGGGCAACCGCGGGCCCACTGAGCTGTTAACACGCAAGCCGTCCACGGACGGCAGAGCCGAAAGAGCACTGTAACATGCCCTCTGGGGCTTCGGGAGCCTCAGGCACCCTGCCTGGACGCTGCCACAGGGCTGCACGGAATTCGTTCCTGCCGGTGCCCGAAAGCACACACTCTGGCTCCTGCACCCGCTCACCTGCATGCTCCCTCCTATGAGGGGTGGAACGCAGTGAATCTTGAGTGAGTGGAGTGTGATCCCACCGGTGCCGAAGAACGGCTGGCTTGTTCCAGCGCTTGTGCACTCCAGTTCCCGCCTCGTTCACTTGCGTACTCCCTCCTACGAGAAGTTGAGAGCAGCGGGCTGAGTAAACGGGGCACCCCTGTTGTGAGTCCTGTGAAAGGGTCAGGGCAATATCCTGCTTCAGCAGCACCGTTTAGGGGAATGAATAGTGCTTCTGAATGAGGTGATCCCTTGCCTGTCGTGTGATCCTGAGCACACAGCTTCATTTCTCTGGGCCTTCACTGCTTGACGTTCAAGAACTATAAAGGACCTAAAAATACTACTTCACAGTAGGTGTGAAGTTTCAAGGAAGCAACAATCATGAACATTAAAAAAAAAAATCCACGTTGCTGACCGAATGTTTTTATAACCATCAAGAGCTGTCATAGGAGAGCTTCCTTTTGATGTTAAAACTTGTTTCTCAAACTCAGCCCTCTAAAACGTAACTCTTCCCTGCCACCCCCAATCATTCAGCCTTCTAATTCTGCCTACCTCCCAGAATACACACTCTGTAGGCTCCCAATCTGTCACCTCACCCAGTTGTTTCTTTCCATCAAATGTTCCTCAGACACATCCATCTTCATCTGAGCTCTTGTCACTTCCCGCCCCTCAGCTAAGAGTCCTTCTTCCAGAACAGGCTCTGGTAGCATCCTGAACCTCACTCTCCAGCTTTTCTAACAGTTTCAATTTTACATTTGCTTGTTAGATCCTTTCTGATGTGTAGGATTACCAATCTCAGGTCACAGACTTTCCTGGGAAAGAAATGTAACCTTTTTTTTTCTATGACAAATTAATTTCTTTTCAACTCTGTTTTCCATGTGGGTAGCAGAAACAATCTCAGACAGCTCAGGGTTCTTCCCATCCTTGATTTTCAGGTTGTATACACCTTTTGGAAAATGAACATAGGGCCAAAATTGGGGGAGAACATTTATCTAATCCTGGCCGGGGCAGTGGTTCACGCCTGTAATCCCCAGCACTTTGGGAGGCTGAGGCGGACAGATCACTTGAGGTGAAGGAGTTCAAGTTCAGCCTGGCCAAAACGATGAAACCCTGTGTCTCTAAAAATACTAAACAAAACCAGCCGGGTGTGGTGGTGTGTGCTGTAATCCCAACTACTTAGGAGGCTGAGGCAGGAGAATCACATGAATCCAGAAGGCAGAGGTTGCAGTGAGCCAAGATCATACCACTGCTCTCCAGCCTGGGTGACGGAGTGAGTGAGACTCCATGTCAAAAAAAAAAAAAAAAAAAAAAAAAAAAAAAAAAAAAAAAAAAAGAAAAAAAAAAAAAAAAGAAAAAGAAAAAAAGAAAATTCATCTAATTATCACTGTCAGTCGTTTAAGCTGGCAACTTCTCCCTGCCTAATCTTCTGTCACTTGTCCACACAGATTGCCACTGAAGATACCTGGGAAATTGAGCTTCTTCTGGGTCTTTGGCCGATGTGTCCCCATACTCCCCAGGCAGCAACAGCAGCGTTGGTCTGGGGGAACAAGGCATAGAGTTCCTTCCTCAGGGACCCACCAGCACCAATACATGTATCTCTTTTCCCTTAAGTCTCCCTGTTTCTCCAAAATCAAGTGCCCTGAATTTTTTCTATTCCCTGTGAACTGGCTTATGAAACGGAAAAGCCTTGAAGGGACTTCCTTTTTCCTGCATCCTGCTGTCATAGCCATAAACTCCCCCAGCAGAGGGGCACCTCTGGTTTTGCTCATTGTGATATTACCAACACCTAGTATCATGCCTGGCTGACACACTATGGGTACTCAATAAAGACTGGTTCAACAATTAATTACTGAGTCTCCCTCCTTCTAGTCTGTCCCACTCCAACCCATCCAGTAAGTGTCTTCCAGAGGAAACCTCTAAAAGTGTAGTTATCACTCCACAGTTCAAATGCAAACACATGCTATTGTGCTGCCAGCCCAATCACCACCCAAGTTTAACCACCTTGGGTTCAAGGCCTCTCCTAAACGGATCCATTTTATTTCCTACCACACATCCAAGTACAGTACTTGAGATGCGTGGCCTGTCAGGCAACCTGTCTTTCAACCAACAATCAAAGTTCCTGCTACGTGCCAGGCACAATGTGGCACTCTTACACTCTGAGAGCAAAAGTAACCAGAACAATGATGGTTCCTACCATCATGAAGTTTACACTCTAGTGGAGAACCCAGACATCAGATACTTATAAATAGATAATTAAATGATTACAGTTCTTTGAAGTGGTTTGGAGGACAATTACAGTTTGCTGTGTGGACTAAATGTAAACCAGGGACCATGAAAAGGGCTCCAGAGGAAGTGACATTTAAGGCGAGACTGAAGTTTACATTGGAGGGTTTGAGACAGGAGGGGGAAGAGGGAGGGAGGAGAGGAAAGTGGTCCGGGCAGAAGTTCTGAAACCAGCCAGAATGGGTATGTTTGAGGAATTGAAAGGCCAATGTGGTTGGAGAGAAGATAAAGTGAGACCATGATGGTCAGCATGGGCCAGATGGTACAAGACTTGGGGTCAAGTTTCCTCATCCAGAAACTCTCTCTCTCATTCATGGCCTCAGGAATGACCCCTGGTTGGGGCTCAGAGAATGATACCCCAAAGTATGGTGCTTTAGTATTGTTTCTGAGCAAATAGAGGCTTACTGCCTGATGCACATAGAAGCCAATACTATGGTACCAGCTTTTGAGTGGAGAAAGGCTTTATTGCAGGGCCACCCAGCAAGGAGACTGGAGGCATGGCTCAAATCTGTCTCCCTAATTTTCCCTAACTGGGGCAAGTTTTAAGGGGTCAGAGGGTGATATGGTTTGGCTGCATCCCAACCCAAATCTCATCTTGAATTCCTACATGTTAAGGGAGGGACCAAGTGGGAGGTAATTGAATCACAGGGGCAGGTCTTTCTTGTGCTGTTCTTGTGTTAGTGAATAAGTCTCATGAGATCTGGTGGTTTTGAGAAACAGGAGTTTCCCTGTACAAGCTTTTTGTTTTTGCCTGCTGCCATTCATGTAAGACGTGATTTGCTCCTCCTTGCCTTCTGCCATGATTGTGAGGCTTCCCCAGCCACGTGGAACTAAAAGTCCTATTAAACCTCTTTCTTTTGTAAATTGCCCAGTCTCAGGTATGTCTTTATCAGCAGTGTGAAAACAGACTAATACAGAGGGCAAGGAAAAGAATTAGGAATTTTTGCTTGGCAGGGTCTGATTGGAGGGCTTCAAATTTGACTACACGGGTATGTTGAGGTGGATTTTCGCCCTGGATCTTTCTCGTCAATAGACCCTTTGCTCCTGAAACAGTTCTAGCATTTAGGTTCTGTTCAAGTCTAGGTCTTCTTGGTACTACAGGGAAGAATCATTGGTTCTGGGTGTTGTTAGATGTCAAAGCATTTTCTATTGTGCATGTCCTGCTGACATGACTTGGAGTTTCGGCTCTGTCATACCTACAAGAGAACATGACATTCTATTATCAAAAGAGTAGGCCCAGTTTGGATTGGTCCTGAGGTTACAGCATGCTGAGCACTTTTGAATGAAAAGAAATGGGAAGGTCTTAGAAGCTGCCTTAGAACCAAGGACTTTCTAACCTTCTCTTGCCCACTGACCCCCATCCTAAGTGCAGGTAGAAGCTCTCTCTAGAAGTTCCCTTATCTCAGAAAATTTCTTCCAAAAGAAGTGCAATTGTCTCAAATCCCTCTTCACAGGAAACTCATCAAATAACCAGGAAAGATTAACCACTAGAGAAGAATAAAAACTAAAAGTCATCAACTCACCACTACACCTAGAGAGACTTTTAATCTATTCTTCTGAGGGAGCTATAACAGATTACCTGGGAGACTTTATGAGTATAAGACAACCTTTGTTCACAATGGAGTTCTGCCCCTCACCTTCCCACAATTTGTTGCCACCTCCTCCAGAGCTCATAAGAATTTTGTCCCAAGGCATTGTCTGTTCTTGGGGCTCATTCATTTCCCCTAAAAATTATTTACTAGCCCTCAAAATTGCCTACATTTCCCCCATCTCCCTCTTTCCTGGGTGCCATTTAAGTAAGCATCAGCCACCTGTTCCTTCTTTGAGCCTCATATTTTGTATGACTGCTGTGCACACTTGCACACTAATACACTTGTATGTCGTTTCTCCTGTTATTCTGTCGTTTGTCAGTTAATTTCAGCAAATCTTTAGAGGGCAGAGGAGAAACTTTTTTGCTCCATACCCTCATTCAGTTCTCAGCGAAAAAAAAATCAGCTCCTCAAAGATGCACTCTCTAAGTGCCCTGTCTAAAGCAGCCGTTCCTCCAATCCCCAGCACCTCTGTCTACTTTGCTCTGATTTGTTGCATTCATAGCACTACTACTCTGGAATTTTCTTCTTAAGTGTTGATTGTCTCTGTGCTCCCACCACTCCCAGTACAGTGTAAGCTCCAAAAGAGCAGAAACTGTGTCTTTCTTGTTGACCTTTTCTATCTCCAGTTTTTAGAATAGGGCTTGGCACATAGGAAGTACCCAATCAATATTTGTTGGATGAATGAAATGCCTGGGGAATAACATGAATCGATATTTCATTCAAAGCGGATCACTGGCTGCTCTGTGGAAAGTAGATTAGGAGGAGGAGGCCAGGCTGGAAGCAAGGAACAAGTGGCAAGCTACTT